GATCGGTTCGGTATGGTTCGCTATTTTGGGTGTTTCCATTATGAAAGTGGTCCGTACCGATCCATGAACCGCACCGATCCATTCAGGGTCCTGCTTCAGATGTAGGGCCATAGAAAATGGAACGGTTGGGTTAGGGCGGAGATACTATACAATCCATTGATTGGTGGACAGGAAGAGCATTTTTTATAAACCCGCATGGCCCCTGAAGGTCTGACTTGCAGTGGAAAAGCTCACCAGAGTGGGCTGGACCATTCTAAACCTTACAAACTGTACCGACCCAAACCGATCTGCTCAGTGGAAACGAGGCATATGTTTCCCATGTGATGATTTGAACTGCACTTTGGGGATAAAATTGTATATCCCATTACATTTTGCTGAACAGGAAATCATGAGACAACAGCTGTCTCCTCAATGAAAAGGGGGACAGCAGATTTTTAGGTCCTAAGTACTCTCTTCTTAAATTATTTGCTTGCCTTTTCTTAATAATGCATTAATGCGTTATGAATCTTTATAATGCTTTAAAATGTAGTTTCCCTTGAGTTAATGGAAATACACAGCAGGACTGTCCAAACGGGGTGGGGGTGTAATTCATACCAGACTTACTGACAGATGACTAACTAGAACTAGAAATCACTGTGCTCCATTGTGAAATTTCCCTGGGTCCCCATGTGTCTTATCCCCTCACAGCCCCTCTGTGTCTCATTCTTTCCCCCAACCCCCCCCATGTGTCTCATTGTCCCTCCCAGCCTCTCCATGTATCTCATTGTCCCTCAATGGTTGCCTACCCCTGGCCTAGAAGATGGAAGAGCGCATTTCCTGTCAGACTATGGTCTGCTCAGCCACGGTACATGCAGTGACTGCCAGGAGGTGGTGCACTGTGCTGTGTGCTCCCCTCATGCTGGTCACCCAGTGATGGGGCACTTCAGGCCACTGCAAACATTAATCAGCCCTGAAGTAATGCTGGCCCACCACGAAATGTTCCGGTATCCTGATGGACCAGTTTGGCCATCAACAGGGCACCAGTGTATGCAGGCTCATCGCGACAAGGCAAGCAAACCAAGCAATTGCTTGGGGCCCCCGAGCTGGCCTGGGGCCCCAAGACAACTACCAGGGACGTATTAGCCACGAGGCAAACAAGGCATTTGCCTTGGGCGGCACTTTCCAGGGGACGGCAAAAAAAGCCGCCCCCAAATGCCCAGGGCAAATGTCTTGTTAGCCTTGCGGCTAACTAACAATCCGGTCGGTCGGGCGGCGCTGGCGAGGGAGCACTTTCCCCTGACATCATATTCCGGCTCCCGGCATCACTCTGCGGCGCGCGAGGAAGCTGAGCAGAGCGCTCAGGGGAAAGTGCTCCCTTGCCAGCGCCGCCTGACCGATTGCTCAGCAGCCCCAGTAGACCCCAGGGAGAGGGAGAACCCCCCCAGCATTCCCAAAGGTAAGGAGGCTGGGGGGGGGGGAGTGGTTAAATAAAAACAATTAAAAAAGTGAGTGTGTTAAAGTGAGTGTGTGTGTGTGTGTGTCTGTTAGTGTGTGTCTGTTAGTGAGTGAGTGTGTGTCTGTTAGTGTGTGTGTGTGTCAGTGAGTGAGTGTGTGTGTCAGTGAGTGAGTGTGTGTGTCAGTGAGTGAGTGTGTGTGTGTGTGTGTGTGTTTTAAGTATGTTGGATTTAGTTATTGCACTTTTTTAATGTATATTTGATTTTATGGTACAGTGGTGTTTTTTGCAAATGTTCAAATTTTATGCACATTATATGCAACAGCAGTATTTGCACTGTAAACATTTTTTAAATTATGCACAGTATATGCAACAGCAGTATTTGCACTGTAAACCTTTTTTATTTATATAAAGTGTGGGTGAACTTAAACTTAATGGCTATGGGGCCCCCAAATTCCTTCAAACGCCCCTGAGTGTATATGTATGTGGAGCAACTAAGTTTCCTGGGATACAGGGTGTTAAAATTATACTGCATTTCCAGTTGTCACCCTCCTTATCCCATCTATCAATCTTTCCATTTGAAGCAACCAGTTCATCTAAATAATCTAAATACATGCTGTGCAAAATATAGAAAGCATTGTGAGGCACTACCATATCTGTGACCAAGTTTCAGCAACTTCTTAATTTGCTTTTTCTTCCACCACAGTGAATGCAGCTTTTCAGATTCTCTCATTGCTCAACCACCCCCAGAGAGTTTCTCAAAGTATCACTTAATTCAACAAAAGGAATTAGGTCACAGTGAATGCTAGTAATTCAAAGTGCTAGGTATTCCTTTGGCAAGAATCGCTGACAGCGTAATAGCAATAATTTGTAGATATATGTGAATGTGTCTCTTTTACAGAAAAACAGTAATATTGCATTCAGCCTTAGTGAGAAAAGAGTCAACTAAAACATATTAATATTTATATTATGAACCTGATAGAAGGTCCATATTGCGAGGGAGGACTGTAAATAGATCTGTATAGATCTATACAGCGTAATGGACACTGAAAGTAGGTCTATATAGAGAGAGGGCACTGTAATTTGGACCATATTGAGTGTAGGTATGTACATAAATGTGGGTTTCCACTAACAATGTTTCAACATTGATCAGGGCTCTCTGTAAGCAGGCAAGCTTTGTCTCATTGAGATGAAATAGTCTGGGTGCCTATAGGGTCTCTTTAATTTTTCAAGGCAGGGTCTTTAGCACTGATTCAAAATTCTTCACTATTTACTTACATCATTGGCAAGGATGCATATAGGTTGGCGGTGGAGAGATATGTTGGTAAGGGAGACTGGAAATAGGGCTTTTATGTATAGAGTTTAATCATAGGCATTCATTCTATGGGTGGGAGCACCATAAGCAGGTCCATGGTTCATGCAGCAAAGCAGGGAACCACGGTCCAGGCAGCATCGAGGCAGCATCGAGGGAGAGATGGAGGAAATACCCACCATGCATCCACCCTCTCCGGCCCCACTGAATCCGGACACATCTCCAGTGACAACTGCAGTTCTGAGGGAACTACTGGCTGACCTCCAGAAAAATATGCTCACTGACATTAGAGCAGATTTACAAGGCCTGAAACGCCAGATTGGGAATCTTGAGACTGCCTCCAACACCAACGCACAACAGATAACCACGCTACAGCAGGCAGTACAGAAGCTGCAGCAACAATCCTATGATCAGCGTTTCTCAATGCTGGACGATATCAGGCGCAGAAACCACTTGAAAATAAGAGGCATTCCGGTAGCAGAAATACCCCACCTTCTGCAGTGCCTAATGCTGGCTCTTCTTCACCCGAAGCAGGCAAAAGCGGTTGGGGCTAAAGGGTCATTTCAGAGTACCAAAATCACAAAGAGCCCCTGCTGAGTTACCACAAGACCTAGGGGTTCATTTTCAACACAGCAGAGACAAAGCAGTGAAGGGAAGTACACCCTACAACTTTGAGACAATATCTCTGACTTTCTACACTGATATCTCGGGCAGCACACTGGCATGGAGACGCACCCTTCAACCATTTACCTCCCTGCTCCAGAAAAATGGAATCTAATACTGCTGGAACATATCACGCACACTTCAGGTACTCCGATATGGCAACATGCAGATAGTCGCAAATCAATGAGAGGCAACAGGACTACTACCAGTTTTGGGACTCTCAATACCGTATTCAATATGGAGTTTAAGTGACTGGAACAAAGGAACCGAACACACACAACAGGATAAAAGACTTGGTAATGTTCCCAGGGCGACAGTGCTTATATACCCAGCTGATGACTGATCTGTCTCAGGTGAAGCACAGCCATAGACAAAGTCCAGCCTCCAGTCCTGCAGACAAGCCAGGATGAACAGGACTAGAATAAGTCCAAGGACTAGGAACTGCTGTGGCTCAAAGGTAGAAGTTCAAAGTTCAAATCCCCTGTTGGGTACTTATGGGGTGACCACATCTGGCTGTCTGGATGTCACGGTGAGAACTGCATTTTTGGGTGTTGCAAATTTTTACATTTTTGTGTGTCTGGAGACACCTCTGAGGATTTTGGGAATGAGGTAGCGGGAGACCCCACTTTGCAAAAGTATAGGGAGAGAGCAGTGTCTGATCAAGGGTTAGAGGGGGAACAGTTTGTGTGGGAAGGTAGCAGGCTATACAGAGTTACCGACTCCCTTGGAAATACCGGCTGGGGTTGCTGAGGGTCGGGCACAACGTGCCCCTTGCTGGACATTTGGGTAACCCAGAACTTTTTCTGGCCTGGGGTATCCAGTGATGTCCAACAATATTGCCAAAATTGTGAGGTGTGCCAACGAGTAGGAAAAAGAGGGGACCACCCCAAGGGTAAAGGTCCCTATGCCTATCATCGAAGAATTGTTTAGTCAGGTAGCAGTGGACCTAATAGGACCATTGGCCCAGGCAATTCGCTCCAGTAAGCGTTATATATTTACTCTAGTGGACTATGCCAGCCGATACCCCGAGGCCATGGCTGTCTCGTATATACAGGCCGAGACCGTGGCTGACGCTCTGGTCATGATATTTTCTCATGTCAGATTTCCCCAGGAGATTCTCTATGACCAGGGTACGCAGTTCACGGCCGATGTCACCCACCAGTTATGTAAGATCTGCGTGATAAATCCCCCTCCCCATATCACCTCCAAATTAACGGGACTTTGTGAGCGGTTTAATGGGACTCTTAAGCAAATGCTGAAGATGTTTACAGCCGCTTGCAGAGAC